AAGTCAAGGGCGGATCCAGCCAAAATTTTAGGGGGGGGGGGGGCTAATTGAGTTTCTTCCGTCAATACAACAGAAAACAATAAAAAAAGCATCATTCTAATTCTTCAGTTTTGTTTTGTTTTTTTTCTGCTGAAGGGGGGCTTCAGCCCCCCTTTGCCCCCCCCCCCCCTCCCTCCTGGATCCGCCCTTACAAGTCCAAAATGCACTATTGGTGATGCAGACATGATCAGCAAATGATCACAATAATATGGAATTTCCCAAATTTTGTCTGAATGTTTTTCCAGCATATTTTATTCCGAGCTGACTTTATTTACACATTTATCGCCCACAACAAATTTCGGTCTTGCAACATGAAACAAAAACTTCACCAACCTTTTATGAAATAGTTGTATAATAGTGTGGATTTCAAATGATTGTGAAATATCACGGCAATATGAAAGCTTTTTTGTCTAATTTTTGTGTGGGTTGAAAAGGGAGGGGATGAGAGGACTATAGCCCCCCACTTTAAAAACTGTTCCGCTATCTCTGATACTTTGCATGGAATTGTGGGACTGTCTGGGGAAAAGTTCTTTTGTGTAAAGTCTTACCTTGCTAGGACAAGCATACTTGGTTGGCCATCTAAAATGATAAACACAGTGTTCCTCCCTGTCATACTCGGGTAACCCATCACCATTATGGGTAGCTCTGGGGTCACAGACAAATGAAATATGGGTCTCCCTGGCTTTGTTGTTGCTGCACTTGTCTCCACCACTATACGTCAGTCTTATTATTCCGTCATAATAGTAGAGCTTCAAGTTTGGCAATCCCATGGAGACTATTTTTGGGTTTTTACTATCAGATGAATCCTTTTGACAAGCACTTGCATTCATGAAACATGGTCTTTGGGACGTTTCATTGGCTGCTTTGCATACCTGGAGAAATAGACCAATCAGAATTCATGTTTGAGTAGCCTTCAGCCAATCAAAGGCTGTGATAGCTTTGCATGGATTAATCATTGGTTGCTGTCAATAACTGTCATTTCCAGTCCATAGAGGTTTTGGACCATCATGTTGCAAACAGCCATGTTAGGTGAGAGAACAATAAAATCCCTTTACTCTGGGGAACTGAATTATTTCTCAATCAAAATCAATTGTATTGTTCCCGCTATCTAACATGGCCGCCATCACATGGTTGTGCTAAACCTCTATTGTGGATTTTTTACAAGAACAATAGCAAATTTTTTTTTTTAGAAAGCTTGGAGGTTTCATTAAGTTTTGAAATAATAAAAGGTCAATTATGAACTATCCGGAGAGTCTATAAAAGTGAACATTTWAAAAATGGCCTTTTGCAACAACAGGTCATGTGACCCTACCCCCTGTAAAAAGAGATGTTGTGTCAAAATGAACACCAGAAATCTAAAGAGCACCTCGATATTAGTAAGAAGGCAAAGTTTTAGCTTATAATGTTGACTACAGTAGGAATGGCATTAAATACAAATTGAATATTTTAAAAGGATTCATATGGGAAAATGTGTTGGATGGCATAGCTTGCTGTTACATGTTATAACCTAAAACTTTGCCTTCTTACTAATAYTGAGGTGCTCTTTTCATTTCTATTGTTCATTTTGACACAATGTCTCTTTTTATGGGGGGGAGGGTTGTGTAACTTGTTGTTGCAAAAGGCCTATTACCAAGTATAGTTAAAGTGCAAATGAACCCTT